CCTCACCGCCCCGCCCTCCCCGCGCGCCGCCTCGGTCGCGTTCGACGCCTCGGCCGCCGCCGACGGCGCCGGCGGCTCGGGCGTGGCCTCGTTCTCGCTCGTCGGCCGCGCGGGCGGCGGCGCGCCGCCGGCGCGCTGCGGCGGCGCCGCCTCGAAGCAGCTGGCGCACGCCTCGTCCCACCCCGCGGGCGGGGGGCGGGTGGTGGGGGGGGTTTCGGGGCTCGAGCCGGCCACGCAGTACGTCTTCAGGCTGTGCGCGGTCGACGCGGCCGGCAACCGGGCGGCGGGGCTGCTACTGTCGTTTGCCACGCCGGCGGCGGCGCGGTGACGGCGGGGCGGGGCGCCTGGCAGGCTCGTTGCGATTTCTCGCAGCTGAACATATGCCTGCTGCCTGCTCAAGCCTATGCGTGCTTTGAATTGATGACGGCAGTCCTGTCTCCTTGCGCTTCTGCAACCTAACCCCGCTCTGCTGTGCTTTTCCACCCGTGGGCATTGCTATCAGTTCGCTCCAACTGCCCTCAGCCCTCGCAGGCGCCACGCATTGCATCCATTCAGTTGTTTCCGCTGGCGGCTGCGCAGCAATGCGGCCCCCAGACCGCCGCGCAAAAAGAAACTGCCGCAACCCGCGCACGGCGCGCGGCCCTCTGCTGCATGCACCAATGCCCTTGTTAAATCGCCCCTGTGCAGCGCTGGCGTTCAAATGCAGCACCGCAATGTGGCTGTCATTGGCAAGGCAGGCTGATGAAACCAGGAGGGTCCAGCGTTACATGTTGCGATGCGTTGGGGTCAACACGCGGCAGCGGGGGTTGAGCGCGGCGCGGGCGGCGGCTCGAAGCACTGCCGGCCCCGCCCGAGCCTTAGGATAGGATTTGCATTCCCTGCGGCCTAAGCCGCTCTTGGAGCTCGACCAGAGCTCGTAGGGGTTGCTTGTGGAGCTCAAAACATGTATGCATTAATGCAGACATGCGGGTCTTGAAACGCCATGTCCTCTGGTGTTGCCTGCTCGCGAATCCACTCGGAAATAGCATTGGTTGCCGCCCACCTCAAGCAGTAACTTGCGTACCAGGGGCAGGGCGGGTCTTGGGTGCGCAGCCACTGCACCACAGCCAGGTGGCCGTGGCGGGCCGCTGCCCAGCAAGCGTCCGTGTTCCAGGGGCAGGGCGGGTCCTGGGCGCGCGCCCACTGCAGCACAGCCAGGTGGCCGCCAACAGCTGCGTTCCTGCAAGTCTGCTCGCCCCAGGGGCAGGGCGGGTCCTGGGCGCGTGCCCACTGCAGCACGGCCAGGTTGCCGCCTTCAGCTGCGTTCATGCAGGTCTGCTCGCCCCAGGGGCAGGGCGGGTCCTGGGCGCGTGCCCACTGCAACACGGCCAGGCTGCCGTCAAACGCCGCTTTGCTACAAGTCTGCTCGTCCCAAAGGCAGGGCGGGTCCTGGGCGCGCGCCCAGTGCAGCACGGCCAGGTGGCCGCCGCAGGCTGCTGCGCTACAAATCTCCTCGCCCAACGGGCAGGGCGGGTCCTGAGCACGCGCCCACTGGAGCACGGCCAGGTGGCCGCCGCGGGCCGCTGCGCTGCAAGTCCCCTCGTCCCAGGGGCAGCCCAGCGCGCGTGCGCATTGAAGCGCCTCGTGCTGGCCGCCAGTCGCCGCTGTGCTGCAACAGAGCGTGCCAGCGTCGTCCAGCTGCGGCAGCGCCCACCTCAGCACTGGCAGATTGCCGTGGAAGGCGGCGCGGGCAGCCGCGCTCGTTTGCTGCTCTTTCGTCAGCAGCGGCCACGCCTCCTGCAGTGCCCACAGCGGCAGCGAGAAGCGCTCGTAGCTAATGAATACCATGCATGTGTAGAAAAGCGCCCCTCGCCGCATGGCCGCCGCCCCTTTCCGCAGCTCCGCGACGCGCTGCGCCGCCGCCGCCGCCAGCGCCTTGCTCAGGCGGGGCACCGCGAGGACCGCGTCACCGGGCGGCAGGAAGGAGCAGATGCGCGCCAGCGCGTCGAGCGGCAGGGCCGCTGCAGTGGTGGGCTGCATGGCGTGCGCACCTGCAGGCGTCGGGCAGGGGCGCGTGGGCTGTGAGAGGCAGGGCGGCGCGGCAGCAGCGGCGCAATCCGGCCGCGCTGCACCCGGTTCACCGAACACCAGAGCAACCCCCGCGGCCTTCGAATCCTACGTCACTCACCGCTTTTGCGCACTTTGGGCTGCGGGAGAGGCGCGGCGCTGTCCGGTTGCGAGGGCAGCGAGGCCTCTGCGCGCGCTCAGGCGGGTGCTGAGGCTCCTGGGGCAGGGATCGCGTGTGTATGTGCGCGTCAAGGCACCAGGGATATTGATTGGCCATTTGACGAACGGCGGGCCTTGTGGCGCGCGCGCCGAAGCGGCGCGAAGATCGGCAGCCGCAGGGCCGCATGGCCGCATGGCCCCCCACGCCCGCCTTGCTGGAGTGCGCCAGCTGCGTTGCGCGCAGGCCCCCGGAGACAATCGACGCTGGCGCTGGCCATCGATCATCTGGCCAGCAACGCAGCGGGGGAGGGCCAGCAGCACAGGGCCTAGTGGACTGCATGCGGCGGCCCGTTTTCGACCGGTGCGGTGGTGCATGTGGCATACAAGGCAGGAGAGAAGGGGGGGAGAGAGAGCGCAGGCAAGCAAGCAGCAGTACAAACGCGCGCACGCACAATGCAGGTTTACACAAGCGCGCAGTCCCGCAGCCGACGCATGGCTGCGCCGCGGGGCTTGGGCGGTGGCAACGCTGAGGCAGCGCGCGGCGCGGCTGCGGGGGGCCCATTAGCGCGGGTTTTTGGCGCGCCCCTTATCCGCAGCGGCGCCGCGCGCCGCGCACAAACCGAAAACGCGCCGCTCCAAATCGCGCCCCAGCGGCAGCCGCCCCGGGGCCGCGGTGCTGCCGCCAATCAGAAGCAGCGCCGGCTCGTCTGCGCGCGCGCGCGCAGCCGAGGCGCGCGCGCGCGCGCAATGCCTTGCGCCGCCAGCAGTTCGCACATCTAAAGACCGCCGCCGCCGCCGCCTCAAAGAAGAATCGCCGCCTCCAGCCGCTCCTCCGCCGCGCTCCAGCGTAGAAAGGGGTGGTCCTCGGGGACCTGGGCAGCCCACGCGGTGCCGAGGCCCAGCGCGCAGTACTCGCGCAGCCTGGACTCAAAGAGCGACTGCGCGCGCACGCACGCGCTGACCATAGCCCGGTCGTGTGGCCCCTCGGCGTGCTCCGCCGGCGCTGGGAGCGCCGGCGGCGCGCGCGCCGCCCCTCCCC